CTGCTCCTATCCAAGCGTACGCTACGCATCCCCTTACTGACCCAGTTTGCCCGATCCAATCCCTCTGCCTCCCTCCCCTGTATGGGCTTAGATCCGACTGAGTACGCGCAAGGGAGTGAGGATGGGAGAAGGGGGTCACTCGATACTAACTCCCACCTTCCTCACCTCACCCCATTCCGTACTCGCCATTCCACCCCCCCCACCTTGCCCTGACGCGCTTACGTCCAGCTGCACGCGAGCAACCCGTGCAATGGCTCGGAGTGTAGTGGTTTTTTATGTAGTGGAGAGTGTTATCACAACCAAAACAACTTCTTAGTTCGTTACGGTAACATAGTTTGGCTTGCAGCTTTGTTAGCGGTTGTTTCCTCATCCCTTGGTGCGCGTTTCTACTGAAACGCGCGCTACGCACCCCTCACTGTACCCCCTCCCCGCGGCCCTCCCCTCTGCCTCCCTCCCGTACACGTGCTCAGCTCCGGCTCACGTGCAGGATAGGGAGGCAGGGGGTACCCGGTACCCACCCTGCCCCCGCACGAGCACACGTCCAGCTGCCACGCCAGCAGCTCGTGCAATGGCTCGGAGTGTACCGAATGGTTGTCTATATATTTCGCGTTTCACCACTATACGTCCACCCATATTTTACTTGAAAAAAGTTCTCAAGCTGTGATCCAAATTCCGTTGTGCACGTTTTCAGATTCTATGTATGAAAAAACCTGGAAAAGCATAATTCCAGAAAAACAAGTCCATCATAAACATTTCTACAGGTGTTTTACAAATTTTCCACCGTTTCACGCTATACGTCCACCTTTGATATAAGGCTCTAAAAATTTTCCCGTTTCAACGTGGTGATATATTCTTATCAAAACAAGACAGTCTTTCACTGTGATGCCACGCGGTTCTCGTCTGTCTTCGGAAGAAAAGGCCCAAATTCGGGCCCTACACCAGGCCGGACTCAGCAATCGGCGGATTGCCAAGGAAATTGGCAGGTCTCACTGCGTCGTCTGCTCCTACCTCAGAAAATCCCTGAGACTTCGGCTAGTGGCGAGGCTAAACAAACACCAACGAAAACCTGTCGCCAGGGAAAGAACGGGCAAGATGGAAGAAAGCATCCAACAGCACTTAAGCCGTCACACCAAATCGTGCCGGGGCGGAACTTTGAAGCTTTCTGCTTCGAAGTCGACAGTCTGGAGGGCTATTAGACGCAACAGCAACATAGTGAGAGAAGTTATGCAGAAGGCGCCACGACTTACTTGCGCTCACAAGTCGGCTCGTCTCGATTTCGCTAGGAAGAACATCACGACGGACTGGAAGCAGGTGTGGTGATAAAAGGAAACGCTATCTCTTTATTGTAGGCGCCAACAGGTAAAGAGGAACTTGTGTTCAGGTAATCTTTTCTGACGAGAAGAAGTTCAATCTGGACGGGCCAGACGGTGCTAGATGTTACTGGCGTGATTTGAGGAAAATCCTATGCGCGTTCATGTCCGCCGCGTAACTTCGGTTGGGGCGCGTTCTTTAGCGTTTGGGGAGCCTACTGCTGGGACAGAAAGCTGGAACTAGCATTCATCTCCTGCCGAATGGACTCGCGTGAATACCAGGAAGTACTTGAGTCCAACTTGTTGCCTTTCCTCCGTCGCTGGCGAAGAGGAAAACCGATTTTCCAGCAGGATAATGCAAGGGTCACGCGAGCAGGTCAACATCGGAGTGGTTTCAGCAGCATAGAGTTGACGTTATGGAGTGGCCCGCGTGTAGCCCTGATCTCAACCCTATGGAGAACCTCTGGGGCATCATTGCTCGAAAGGTTTATGAAAACTGTAGGCAGTTTGAGACCATCAACGAGCTGAGATGTGCAGTCATCGACGCGTGGAAGAACATTGACGCCTCAGTGCTGCAGAACCTATCAGCAAGCATGCCTCATCGACTCATGGAGCTGGCTTCCAAACAAGGAGCACCGATTGATTACTGATTTTGCTGTTGCTGTCTTGTTGAACATAGAAATAAACTGTTGATGAGAGTGGACGTATAGCATGAAACGGCCGAAAATCGGTTATATGCCTATAAAAAATCCCATGGGAGATCTAAATTACTGAACACCTGCTTTCCAGTGTTTTTTTATACGACGAATCTCACAGTGTACACAACATTACTCCACCATCGCTTTAAGGAATGTTTTCAGTAAATTGATGGGTGGACGTATACTGGTGAAACGCACTTATTATAGCGGAGCTGTTTCACATCAAATCATTGCGATGCCTACATCCTCCCAGGTCGCGTTTACCGGTTTGCCCTGAGCGGTCGTTTTCGCCTCCGCGACTCGAACACGGTGAACTATTTCTGGCGACTGACAAGACAAACTACATCTCATCATATCATACATACATAGCTACAAAACCTACATACAACATACAAACGACACCACAAAGTTACTGTTAAGATAGAATGAAAAGGATAGTACGTAACACGTAAATAACAATACGTAAGTACGTAATACGTACGTAATGTAATAGTACGAAACTTTCTTTGATTAAACTAATCAGAAATTAACTGGAAATATTAATAAGTCGACATCATCTCGTAAGTAGGTATATGGCTAAACAGTACAACTCATACCCTGGTCCGCTGCGGATGATGGGGCGTGTCCGAGCACCGCGCTAAGCCAACCTGTCTTTTTTACGACAAACGACAGGCTACCATATCGTTCGCATCCGTTCGTATCAGACGTTTTCCAGCTGTTGGTCTCCTTTCAGAGTCAGCAATTGGCGGAGCACAGATCTGGCGGCGTCGGACACGGACACGCCCCATCATCCGCAACGGACAACACTGTAAACAAGTGCGTAGGTTGGCCATGGAACTCCCTGAATCCTGTAAACACATCTGCTCGTGTAGACAGGCATTGCGTGGAACTGCACCATCCCATTACCTCTGCGTGGGAGCCTAGGCATGGCGCATCCACAAATGAAGCTAATGGGCGCTAAAACACCTACTGCTTGCTCCTATTCCACGAAGGGATGCATTCCAGATGCATTTCTGGATATCCGAGTACGCTCGCTTGAAACGGTACACAGAAAACGGATTTTTCGAGCAGCTCGGAGTGCTCCCTAATAAATCCCCAACGCAATTATCTCATGAATCCCGGAAACTTCAGAAACAGTTCAAGTAGTTTTTGGACAGTTCAGGTAGTTTTTGGAAAAAAAGAAATCCTCTAGCATTCGATACGAGTTTCAGATTCCCAAACTGTTGAGTTCAAGGAAAATATCTTCGTTCAAACCAGGACAGTTTGCATGCATCCTCAATAGATCCCCAACCTGAATTTCTCTCTGAATTTGGCGACCTTCATAAACATTTCAGTACTTTTAGGAAGCTCAAACCTTCCTCTACACGACTGCGGTCTCCTCTTTCCCACAGGTCCGCTTTTGAGGAAGTTATGGCCCTTCAAAGACACCCTACTTTCCTGAAAACTCGCGCTCCATTCCAACCACCTTGCAACCACCTTGCGGCGTTGGTCCTGCCCAGAATCCCTTCCAATCGATTCCTCGGCCGTTTTCCAGCTGATTTCGGCTAGTCAGTTAAATTTATCTTCTTTTTTTTCTTATAAGTTTTTCTTTCTATCAGAACTGTTAATAGTACTGTACAAAATGTATTGTTGTAGAAGCCGTGCTTAGACCTATTCAGTTGCTGTTGATAAGGCTGTAACAAAGCTAGTGGTAACAGCGCAATTTATTTTCTCAGCAAGCAATGGATGGATTTTGGCCGCATTCATAGCTTGCGATTGTGACAAAGTGCAGAAATGACGAACTGACGCACGGAAAGCATTGATACGTATCCATTCCCTGCAAAGTCATCTCTCCATTTCTGAATTTCGTCAATCTGCGCTGCTTCAGTTCTTCATTTCCGCATTTCGTCACTATCGCAAGCTATGAATGC